ATCCCACAAGAAATCAGTTTATCTGTCTCCTTGCTAGCTTGTGAGCTCTTTGAGAATAAAGTTTGATTATATTTTCAGCACCTTGAACAGTATGGGACATACTGAGCTTCATGACGAAGTAGTAAATAATTTCACTACAGTGTAATAGTTCCCAGAGTTCAATACTTGTATTTCTAAACTGTTATTGACACCCTGCCAACAATTTGAGAATGTTATGCTTTCTCTCTAAAACTTACATCCATAACTGAGCAGCTGTGGTCATGGCTAACTCTGTTGTGACATACCCTCTGGCAAAGCTCATTCATAGTTTTCTCCTTAGGTGATTTTTGTTTGCTTGCTTTTTTTTTTTTTTAAATCTACTTGGAATGTTCAGCAACCATTATTTTTTCATATCTCTGTGCCTTTGCACTTGCCAGACCCTGCTTAAAATGCTGTCTCAAGGTCTTATTCACCTGGGTGACATTTCTATTCATCCTTTAAGAACCAGCTTAAAGGGCGGCCGGTTAGCTCAGTTGGTTAGAGCACAGGCTCATAACACCAAGGTTGCTGGTTCAATCCCCACATGGACCACTGAGCTGCGCCGTCCACAACTATTGAAACAACTACTTGACTTGGAGCTGATGGGTCCTGGAAAAAACACATTGTTCCCCAATTAAAACAAAAAACAGAAAGCAGCTTAAACTTCTCTAGGAAACCTTTATATCTATCCTCCCATCCTATCAGCAAGAGTTAGGAATTCCTCAAGTCATGTATTTGTGCATCTATTACTATATATCAAGCACTGAACTAAGTGCCAAGAATATAAGGATGAAGATGTGAACTCTGCCTCATGGAGCTCATAGTCTAGGAAGGAAGACAGCCATATGTACCAATAACCACATCTAATATTAAATGCAACACGGAAAGGAAGATTTATGGAATATTGTGACATGTCAATTACTTTGTTAGGTACTTTAGTAAACATTATCTATGATCCTGTTAGATAGGTTTTGAATTAGACAAAAGTCCAGGAAACTCTAAAGACTGGTATAGTCTCAGTTGTCTTCTTAAGAAACTGTCTCCAAGGGGTTCTTCTTGTATATACTATAGCCTGCAGGACAGATAGTGCATGAAAGCACTTCTACTTCTTTGGCCACAAAAGACTGGACCAGGACTCGGAGCCCTAACTAAGGACACACTGAATTTAAGGGAGATCACCTAGGATATGGCTTGGCTCAAAATTCTGCCCAATAGCAGGTCCTCCATTTTAGAAGGTGACAAACCAATCCATTCAGATATTCTTATCTTGGGACATACAATTGTTGGGTAAATAAAATGAAAGAAAGCAGGTCTCCAGGGCTCAACTCCTAGTCTAAGTACTGCTAAGTTATGGTTTTATAAAGTTTTGAAAGCACCAAGGCCAAGGGACAATATGGCTGCTGAGATGATTTCCCATTCAAGTTTACATTAAACCATCATCATCAAAGGTAACATGTATGTTCCTCTTCCTTGCAACCCACAAGGGCCTAATCACCATAGCACCATTTCTGAAATTCGGATAGAGGCTTCAAAGTTTAACAGCTTGCCCAAAGTCACTAAGTTGGTAGATGACAAAGCCAGAAATCAAAGACCATGTCAGCCTGATTATCCTAAAATATCCTTCCATTTACATGGGTGAATGGCCTCAAAATCAACTAATGGCAAGTGCAGCTTGACACAGGTCAGTGGAGAGGCTCAAAAGGAAGTGTTTATGCACAGAGCAGAACAGAAATGTTCTGAAAGTCAGTATGTTAGGGGATGTGAAGCGGGAGGGGGCACACTAGGGCTCACCTGGGTCAAGTTAATCTATAATTCCAACCCGGACCTCTCCCGTTAGCTGTCTGTCCCTCTTACTTGAATAAACGTCTATAAGGGCAGGAGTTTATGCAACACAGTCTAAAACAGAGCCTGATTTATAGTAAGTGCTTAATAAAAAATTGTTGAATAAATGAATAAGTGAACGAATCCTCAAAGAAACTAAGGAATCTACAGTGGATGGGAGGAAGGGTTACCATGAAATAGGCTCCAGGAGTCATTTACAAGTATGGCTCATCCTAATTATTTGTGGATCCTGTATTTGAGAATTTGCCTCCTTGCTAAAATTTATTTTGTAATCCTAAAATCAATACTCATGATACTTTTGCGGCATTTCAGACATGCACAAGATGGCAAAAATTTTGAGTTACCCTTCACATTCGCAGCTAAGGTGACCAAGGCAGAGCTCTGCTTTCTTTCAGCTCTCATACAGAGATGACTAAAGGACACAGACAGTAGGGGGCAGTGCAATGTAGTGCAAGACACTGACTGGGGCCAGTAAGACAGGATTTGAATCCTAACTCTGCCACCTATCAGAAGGCCTCAGGCAAGTCACTTAGCACTGCTGAACCTCAATTTTTCTTTTGTAAAAAAGAAAGAAAAGAAAAAAAAGAAAATGGGATCTACCAGGATGAGCTGTATTTAGGATTTAAGATTATAATCTATAAAATATGAGACATGTATATATGTATGTACATATTTTCCCTAGGAGCAATGGTTCAGTATTTGCTAATTTAGTTATCTAAGTGACTTTATAGACCATACTACTGTGAATAATGAGAATCAACTGTAATTATTTATAAAGAAATAACAGAAAGATAGAAAACAGTTATTAGAATGGAGTAGAGGCCAATGGCAAACTTCAAGAAGATTTTGAAATAGGACCTCACCAGGTACATAAAATGTGTACAAGGTCTTCAAGGAGAGAACAGCACCTAGAGAGAGAGGCCCCGGTGTGTGGGAAATAAACAGGTAGGTTGAGGAAATGGCACTTCACAAAGTCTAGAGCAGCCAGAGATGAGACGGGGTTCTGACAGCAGGCCACAGTGCTTCTCTGGGCCCTGTAATCACCTGTACTGCAGAATCTCTCCCTTTGCATTTAATTCTTGGTTTATAGGTCTTCTTTCCATTAAACTGTGAACTCCTTAAAGGAAAGGGCTCTAGGAAGAAATCATAACTACAGTCCTTTAAATTTGCAAACAAGTAATTATAAGTACAAACACACCTGAAAAGACTGTACAAAAATAACCTTTCCAACTGCAGCCTTATACCAACTCACAATAGTGACCAACTCATAGATTCGCAATTTGTCCAGGACTATTCTTTGATGACTGCTAATAATTCTGGTATAAATTCTTTTTATTGTTCTAAACACCTGGGCATTTGTTGGCATAGCTTTAAGATCTTCGACTTTTTAGTGTGATTTATTAACAGGACTCAAACATATGTTCCATTAGACAATGCTGCCTCCTCACAGTAAAGATTCCTTTTAATTCACTCTACTGGACTTATTTTTCTATATACAAGATACAGTCTTACCATAGCAAAATACAAAGAAGCATACTGATATATATGTCATAAATAAGATAAGAAAAACAGTAAGAATTTTTCACAAAAGCTTGCAAAATTCTGGCCAAAACACAGTGGACATGATATTAAACTCACTGCTTACAATTCACCACTGAGAACTAGAAAAAACAATTCCAATTTATGTAAAGTCATGAAAATAAGCACTGTTTAAATCTACAAGATTTTGTACACGTGTATTTTCTCTCTCCTGCATGCACTCTCTCTCTCTCTCTCTCTCTCTCATACACACACAGCCGAAGGGGCCCATCAGGCAGATACTTCAATTTCCTCCATCCCTCAAAACAAAACCCTCACTGTCCAATACTTAGCTTAATATTTCCAAAACTCTCAAGTCTCAATCAAAACTAAGCATGGTGAGCTACTTTTTCCCCATAAAATTCTCAGCATAATTTTATTTAGGCACAACAAAGTTTGCACTATTATCTAGAAACATATGGCTTAGAACCAACACTATAGCAACCTAAACTGATATATGACGAAGGTGAACACAAATTCTGCGTGAAAGGGGAATAAGGAATGTTATTTTTAAACAGATTCAAAGCTATATCATCCATAGGCTGGGTGTCATCAAATCACATCCTGCTGTACAGCTAAAGCATGTCCTATAATTATGGCAAACTACAGTAGTTAGGCCCTTCCTTATTCACACTGCAAACTCCTGCCACCCCAGTGAAGCTGTTTAAAATATAATCCAATTGTATCTACTTAGAAAATAATAATACATTTTTAATTTCTTCCAGTAAATTAAATCCTCCTCACCCGCATTTTCAGAACTTATCACCAAAATACTGTATTGGGACAAAGATTCTAGAGAGGATATAATGATCCAATGGCTTTTTAAGTAAGACAAAAATGGTTTACTATTAACAAAACCCATTAAAGTCCCCAACCTTGTAAAGCTCCCTGTACAGTGTATTCTGCTTCTTGTGTTCACCTTCCAGCTGCCTGGAAGGGACAAGCGGAAAATATTAGTTTCCATGAGAAATTTAGGGGGTGGGAGTGGGGTAAAGGACTCGCTCGAGGAAGCGAAGGCAGAAGAGAAGTAGCCAAGGTTCCTAACTCAAATCAGGTATCAAGAATGAGGGCTGGAATAAGGGGGAGGTGGAAGGAGTAGAAGAAACGCAAATAAAGCAAGGGGGCCCGAGAATGGGGTGGGGTGGGGGATGCGCAATTCCTCCCCCTTAGCGCCTGGGGAACGGCAAACCGGGATGCAGCACGGGGTCAATTTGCCTAGCAGTGTTGCACTGGGGTGGTGAGGGGACTCCCAAGCCCAAGACTTCAGTAGGAATGTTAAAAGAGGGCTGAGGGGCTCAGGGAAGTTGGGGGGTGGGAGAGGAATAGAAAGCCTATGCAGGTAGAAAAGGACTAAGACCCCCAGCGCCCTCGAGGTGGAGCAGAGGGGCACCCCAGCGACGCGGGACCCGCCAGCTTACCCTCCCCACAGGAGGTCGGGCAGGCGCGTGCTACCCCTTACAGCCCCTAGGGCGGCGAAAAGGGTGGCGCAGGACGCCCCCAAAGCCGGGAGAGCAGCGCTTCTCGTGGGTCCCCTTCCCCGCAGCCCGGGAGCCCAAGCCCACCTGGGCTGACCAGAAGCCCCTCTTCCAGATCGTACTCCGCCGCTCTTCCGAGAGCCTCAGCCGTCGCTGCAGAGGTTGTGGTCGCCAGGACACTCTCGGCCTCTAGAACCAAAGCGTGAGCCACAGCACCGAGAAACGCCGCTACCACTCGCCAGGTTACCTCTTACTGCACAGTGGCTCCTCACCCCGCCCCCGAACCTAAGCCATTGGTTGCTGGGCACCGCCCTATTTGTCTATTGGACCGAAGAGAATGCCGCTCAGTCACCTAGAAGGGCACGTGTTGTGTTTATTGGTCTAAATGTGAAGTAATTCCCGCCCACTCCCTCAGAAGTTCCAGCTTCTGATTGGTGTTAACGTCTGTCTTTTCGCTCACTTCGTTTTCACTCCAGGTGGAGCGCCTCCTTGCGGGAGACACCGACTCTGATTGGCTGAAAGGACACTATGCCAGTTCTGGATAGGCATTGGGCCAAGGCATTGGGCATTTTTGGCCCCCGAGTTGGGGAGGAGCCCGAGGTGCTGCACCTCTGCATTTGTTTACATAGGATTTTGCTCCCGCTTCCTTCCATTGGCTGAGCCAGCAGCTCCTCCCACTCAGTCTAATAATGAGGGATGTCGGGGGCGGGCTTTAGTGGGATTTCCCCAGCTGTCAACTACCAAGGGAGGAGCTTTGAGCAATTCTGGCTAGGAACTGGCTCTGGTGGAAAATTGGGGAGTTGGGCTCCTTGGAGAGGCTGGAAGGAAGCGAGGGTCTTACACATTTCTAGAAACAAACCTAACTTCTCAAGTCCTTTTAAAAACATAAAGCCTATTTTCCCTCTCGCATTTAAGGTGTCTAATCTTTGCTTGCTAAGGACTTTGAATTTTATCCTTCAAGAAATGGAGATTTCTTTATGGAAGTCTTACTTTATACATCTTTGTCTCTCCCTACCTCTCATGCTAACTATATACATAACACAAAGTAGAGGCTTAGTAAGTGATTGCACAGTGAGTGGATACGTGATAAAAATGAAAATGACAGCTAAATAATGTCAGATTAAATAAGACTAGTTAAATGTTAAATATATACTTCATATAAATAATATAAAGTAAATAGATAAATAAATAAATTCATTCATTCAATATTATTGAGCATATGCTCTGGGTATATGATATGAATGAGACAATGAAGATGTACCCATGGTACTTGTTCTCTAGTGGAGGAGACTGACAATAAACCAGTAACAAATGAATAGTAAATGTTATGTTGTGATTAAGTACCACAAAGAAAAATAAAGCATAGTTAAGGAGCAGTTGAGGGAGTGGCCATTTTGGGTAGAATGGTTAGTGTAAGAGCTGTTTGAGGAAGGAGTATTGAATGAAGCTGTGAATAATGTAAAATGAAGAACCGAAAGAGGGCTGGTAAGAAGCGCCACTACATTGCACACCAGTGTCACTAGTCACATTGCTTCATGTATTTCCAACTTGTGTTATTAGGTGTAAATCCTTTTAGGATTGCCTGCTCTTGTTTTAAGCTTTATCTGATTAAATAATTAATTAAATTAATTAAATAATTTAAATGGATCCTACAAGAAACAATCTCTTTTAGAAGAAAAATCTGTCTCCAAGATAACTTCCCCATAACCTCTACTGCTTTTTTTCCTAAGTGGCCTTTAGGTGTATGGTAAGAGAGGGGCTTACATGACCTCACAGTTTGAAATGCAGGGTGTTTGGGGCCATAGGGTGTGCTTGCACAACCAGAAAAACTCTTCAAAGATAAGATTTATTACCAAGATAGCAATGGGATGCGGGGATATCACATTACTGGATATCACCAATTATAAAGAGAAAATCTTAAAAGCAAATAGAGAAAAATGTCCATTACATACTGAAGGGGGAAAGATAAGAATTACAGCAGACTTCTTATCAGAAACTATGGAAGTCAAAAGACAACGAGGGAGGTAGCCACGTGGATATTTGGTAGTGATAGGCAGAATAAATAGGAGTCCAAAGGAACAGATAGGAGACAATAACCAGTCATGAAGTTATAGGGGATGGTGTCAGTTGGAGAGAGGGAGATAAGAGGAGTCCACCGACCCTTCCCCACATCCCATTGCTGTCATGGTAATATATCTTCATCCTTGAAGAGTCTCTCTTTTATTTTTTATTGTGGTCAAATATACATAACATATATTTTACAACTTTTACCATTTTTAAGTATGCAGTTCTTAAGTACATTCACATTGTTGTGCAGCCATCACCACTATCCATGTCCAGAGTGTTTTCATCCTCCTAAACTGAAATTCTGTACTCATTAAACCATAATTCCCCATTTCCCCTTCCTCCATCACCTGGAAATTGCCATTCTACTATCTGTCTCTATGAATTTGACTACTGTAGTTGCCTCATAAAACCATAATCATACAATGTTTGTCCTTTTGTATCTGGTTTATTTCACTAGGTATAATGTCTTTGAGGTTCATCCATGTTGTAGCATGTATCAGAGTTTCATTTTCTTTTAAAGCTGAATAGTATTCCATTGTATGGGTATACCACATTTTGTTTAACCTTTCATCCATCAATGGAATTTGACTATTGTGAATAATGTTGCTATGAGCATTGGTGTACTAATATCTGTGCATGTCCCTGCTTTCAGTTCTTTTGGGTGTGTATACCTGTGGGAAGCAGGCTGTGAGCTGACCCGGTCCTCACAGCCTGTGGAACAGTTCAGGGAACGTTCCACCCCCACTGATCCGACAAGAGAAGAGAATAGCTGAAGCCGCAGGAGCCTCTGCAAAATGCAAAACAAAATATAACCTGTTTGTGCACTCTGAGAAGTAACTTACTAATGTCTAACCCAATAAATAGACCCCCTGCAGCTGTTTACTGCTCTCTGCAGCTGCTTGCTACTATATAAGCGTTGTGTAAAAAATAAATGAGGCCATTTTGCTCCCCTCTCTCCGCGGACAAGTGGACCGAGCCCAGCTTTTTTTCTGAGTCTTTTCTAACTCCCACTGCAATCTGTCTCGGGTTTAAGAAGGCAATCGCTGGTTAGGCAGGAGTGGGTCTCGTTGGTGGGTCTCGTTGGTTGGAACCTGCGGGTGGGAACCGGCTGGCAGGATGCAGCTTCGTCAGGATACCCAGAGGCAGAATTGCTGGATCATTTGGTAATTCCATGTTTAATTTTTTGAGGCGCTGCCTTACTGTTTTCCATAGCAGCTGCACATTTTACATTCGCATCAATAATGCACAAGGGTTCCAATTTCTCCACATCCTCACCAACACTTGCTATTTTCTGTTGGTTTTTAATTTTTATTTTATAATAGTGATTCTAATGAGTGTGAAGTGGTATCTCATTGTGATTTTGGTTTGTGTTGTCATAATTATTAGTGATGTTGAACATCTCTTCATGTGGGCATTTGTATATCTTCTTTGGAGAAATGTATATACAAATCCTTTGCACATTTTAAAATTGGGTTGTTTGTTTGAGTATTAGGAGTTCTGTATATATTCTGGATATTGATCCCTAAGCAGATATATAATTTGCAAATATTTCTTCTATTTCTTCCATTCTTGATGCTCAGAGAGTACTTCTGACTGTGCAAGGCCTGGATGACCAAACAGTTAAAAAAGAACACAGGGATTCCACTATTAATTAAAAGGAGGAGAATGGATATAAAAGCCACAGAAGAGCTGGAAGATAGAGTTGAGGAAATGTCCCATAAAGCAAGATAAAAAGAAAATTTGATGGAAAATAGGAGACAAAGTGTGAGCAACAGTCTAGAAGTAGAGACTAGAGGGAAGGATATAAATTTAATGATACTGAAAGAAGTCTCATAACTGAATTAACTTGAGTCCTTGAATTGAAAGAACTCAACAAGTGCCCAAAACTTTGAATAAAAAAAAAGGCTGACACCAGTAATAATTAACACTTGTTTAATTTTTGCTATGTGTCAGGCACTGCTTTAAGCACTTAACATGTATTAATCAACTTACTCTTCAAAACAACAGTATAAGTACTATTACTACCCCCATTTTACATACAGATAAACTGAGATGGAACAAGATTATGTAACTTACCCAAGATCATTCAACCAGTAGTCAGTGGTGGAACTGTGTTGTGGTCACTCTGCACATGAATGGATTTGGATTCCAATACTGATGACACCACACACATACCAAGAAGGCATAAAGAGAATTACTGTGCACATAAGCAGGTCTTCCATGTCTCTGCTCCCAAGCAGGGCAGAAAATGTCTTGAGAGATGCAGGAAAGGGTTTTGGTTTTAATTGAGGTTCAAGGACTGCAGTAAGAGTTTTCATGTATACGCTGGAGCTTGCATGGTTTGAACTTCCCAAAGGAAGGAGCACGGGGCTTATTGCTTTGCCTACATGTGGGGCAAGAAGAGAGCAGGAAAGGGTCGGGACTGAAAGCTCTCAGCTGCTGAATATATAAATATGGAGTCAGGGGCTGGCCGAGTGGCTCAATTGGTTAAGAGTGAGAGCTCTGAGCAACAGCGGTGCCGGTTGGATTCCCACATGGCCAGCGAGCTGTGCCCGAGCTGAGCTGCCACTGAGCTGCCAACTGGCAGCCGAATGGCTCAGCTGGTGAGAGCACATGCTCCTAACAACAAGGTTGCCAGTTTGACTCCCGCATGGAAAGGTGGGCTGTGCGTCCTCACAACTAAGATTGAATACGGCACCTTGAGCTGAGTGTCTGCGAGCTGCTCACGGGTGGCTGGATGGCGACTGGACTTGGAGCTGAGCTAGCTGCACCCTCCACAACTAAGACTGAAGGACAACAACTTGGCTGTGTTCCCGTCACCAATTCCCCAACACTGTTCCCCTTCCCTTATTCCCCAATAAAATCTTTAAAAAGAAAAACAGAGTCAGATTCTTTATTACAAGCTGGAATTCAAGTCAAAGCATTTGCTAAGTAATAGAGATAAGGAGAAGATCCTAAAAGTTTCTAGAGTGAAATAGATCACACACACAATATCAGCAATCAAGAAAATCAGACTTTCCACAGGTAACACAGGAGGTCAGAACCAATGGAGCAATGCCTTCAAAATTATGAGGGTAATTGTTTCTAACCTAGACATTTAGTTTGTTCAGGCTTCTATAACAAAATAGACTGCATGGCTTAACACAGCAGAAATCTGTTTCTCATAGTTCTGGAGTCTGGAAAGTCCAAAATCA